CTCACACGCCAGGCGACTGGAAAGCAAGTTAAGGGACCAAGACGCTGTCATCAGGCGGATGGCGGCCGAGATGGAGGATCTTAAGCGGCATGTCAAAGGGAAAGTGTAGCTGGAGTGGGAGACCACAGTGAGCGCACCCCATCCCGCCGGTCAGGCGATCAGAGTCAGCGACGTACTCAGTCCATTTCCATCACCAGGAGTTACCAGGTTGGTGATTCCGACATGCGTGCAGAAAAGTCCAGCGCGCAAGACAGCACTTACAAACCCTCACGTCGCGCGACGACGTCGAGGTACTCTTATTCTGCTCAGTCAGAGGACCTACGGGCAGTGTTAAGGGAGCGGGCTCGCCGGCGCGAAGCTCAGAGAATACCTGCTTTCCAGCGGCTCTCCTACGGGGTTCACGGCAGCGAGAAGGTCGGAATGCCTCCACCCCGCCAAGCAATGCCAATATTCGAAGATACAGACTTGGCAAGGCTGAGTGCCACTCCTTTTTCCCTGGAAATAGAAACAACGCCGCTTCCGGCAGGCTTCCACCAGCCTAAGTTCACACTTTACGACGAAAAACCGATCCGTACATGCATGTGAGCCACTTCCGACAGGTTATGGCCGGACATCGGCGCAATGACGGACTTATGTGCCTAATTTTCCCGTCAAGTTTAGGCAGCTAGGCCTAAAGTGGTTCGAGAGGTTGCCGGAAGGAGCATACAAAAGTGGCATCAGTTGGCCGAGGCGTTTGTTACGCGCTTCAAAACCAACACAAAAACACCAAAGGAAGTCGATCACTTGCTAAGTGTCAAGATGGAACCGTGCGACACACTGAAGGCGTACAATTCAAGGTATTGGGAAACCTTCAACGAGATCTTAGACTGCCCGGTCAACCTTGCTATAACGCATATTAAGCGCGGTCTCCCGGTCGGACATAGACTGCGGGACTCGCTTACCATGCACCAACCGACCTCCATGGGCCAGCTCATGCAGCGCATCAATGAGCACATCCGAGTAGAGGATGATGCGTCGGCTTCCACCGTGACGGCCACTCCGGTCGGAACAGACAAGAAGACAGCAGGCAAGGTGCACGCAGTTGGGCAAGAGTCCAACCGCTCAAATGACCGAGCAGAGGAATCAGACCGAGGTTCAAATCGAAAAAACCGGGGTAGAGGACGTCGGGCAGACCGGGATGATTACCCCCGAGATGACGTTGAGGACGCAAACAGAAGAATGAAGGCAAGGACTGGCATAACCACGGTCTTCAAGATTCCAATCTATCGCATACTTAGTGAAATCCGAGACGAGGAGTATGTCCGGTTTCCGCTAAGTTGGGCGGATGGACAAAAGCCGGCATCTCTCTATTGAAGAAGGGCTCATCACTGTTTGGGACCCCCATGTGCCACTTGCCATTATACCCCTCTTTGGTCCCCATTTTTGCATGATTTATTAACCTATTGTGCTTCTATTTTTGGGCATTTTTCAGAACTGAAAATAGTCTTATTTTAGCCTACTCTTCATGTTTCATTAAGGGTATTTCATTTTTTGAGGCATCCTTCATATACTTTGTGTTATATCTCTCTTTTTTGGCCATATTTTGCATGTTATTTTTGGCTTGTATGTATGCTGTTTTGGGTCCAACCATCAACTGTAAAATGCATTATTTCTGGTCCCTCTTCGGTGTTGTCGAAGGGGCAAGTTTGTATAGGCGTTAGAGACCGCCCAAATTCAAATTCTGGCAAAAACGGCGGGTTGGCTGCCCCCTGACCAATGGCAGACCGCCCCGCGTCACCCTTTATGGCTTTGGCAGGACTGAAGCGACGGGTTGAAAAGACGAAGAGCCAACCGAGCTACTTTCAACGAGAAAAGGTCAGCCGAGGAATATAACCGGTGGATGCGCTCTAGGACCAAATGTTGTTTTTGAATGGCCTGCACAAAGAAGCATAGTACATCAGAAAGGGGACCGAGCAAGAAGGACCGAGCAAACACTAGTGAAATGTTAAAAAGAACGTCGACTTACCCTGGCCATGGACTTCACGGAAGATTTTACCAGCCGGGTGTCAGGGACGTGGTCACTGCCTACCACGTCGCTCGGTAGGAGAAATGCTTTGGAGAGATCGAAGGCAAGCAAATGTTCTTTGTCTGCCTTGATCGATGCAGTCGCCGGGATGTCCTGTCCCCGGTGCTTCAGCTGAGGACGCCAAGCGGGCACGGGAGCAGGAGTTTCAGCTGGATGTTCGGTTGTCAGCTCGGCGACGAGCTCGACAGAGGGATCTGCCCGTGGTCTCTTTCCAGCCCGGCGCGCTTCTCTGGCAGATTGCCCGGCAGCTGGAGCTGGAGAAGCAAGGGCTACCACGGCTGCACTCGATTGACCGGCAGCCGGGGAGCGGGTGGTGACGCTCGGTATCTCGGCTGAGGTCGCGGTTAGAAGGTTTTTGATCCGAGATCTTTTGGCCATTTCTTGCTCGTCGGTTAACCGGATTAATGGGACGTCTGGTAGGGTTGGATCTGGAGGTGGCGAAGGAGCTCTGAGGAAGTCAGTTACTCTACTCCGGCGGGGAGCAGAATATCTGTAAGTCGGTGTGTAGCCGAGCAATTCGTTGCAGTCTCGGTGACGGTACCTAAGCACGGCCCGAATTGCCTCGACGTTGGGGAATTGGTAGTTGGCTTGCAAGGCTTGGATAGCTGCAAAAGAAACAGGGAAACCGGTTAGTTAAACTAAAGAATTAAGTTCACCGAGCAAGTTTGAGTGGCTTACATGAAGAACCGAAGTCCTTGCTTATGAACCAGCCCGGCACCTCGGCTGTTTCGTAATTGCCGGTCACCCAGAAAAAATCATCGTCGTGCATATCTTTGTCCGGGGTGCCGGTTATGATTTTTTCCTTGCCCGGTCTTATTTTCAAGTAGTAAGCTAGGCCGTCGCCGGTGTGGCCCATTGTGTATTGCCTGAATATCTCGGCTAGGCCTAAGTTGGTGCCTAGCCGTTGGTTCAATTCGTGCACACCGTTGATTATTCTGTAAGTGTTGGTGGACACCTGTGTGGGTGCCAGCCCGGTTCGGCGGAGGAACTCGGTTATGAGAGGGTTGAGCGGGAAACGAAGACCCCCTTCCACGATGGATAGCACGGTGAAGGGGCACTCCTCCCTACCCCAAGGTGTGGTCTCCTCTTCTGCGAGCTGCAGGTGGACATCGGCCGGGACACCGTAGTCCTCCCTGAACGTAGCCAGCGCAGCCGGAGTATCCACTAGGAAGCGGAACTTCCCCATTTTTGGCCGGCTTAGTGTACCCCGGCTGAGGGGTTTGGCTCTGGGTATTGGATGTTGCCCGGTCCTGAGAGCCTCAGGAATGACAGTGGTCCCCTTGGACTCTGCAGGAAAAGGATGGCAAGTGTTAGCGCGGTCGCGCGAAGGTGCTGGATTTAGCTCGGTCATTAAGTGTGCCAAACCACCTCGGTTGTCTATTCTATCTAAGGAGCCCGGTCGCCCAAGCGGACCAGATGTTAGCCCGGTTGAACGGCCAAGTCCTTTTGTTATCTCGGTTTTCGCCTTGGTTGAAACAAACATGTTGTTATCCCGGTTTGGTCGGTTTTTTGGATCAAAAGAAGGCCCAAAGCCCGGTTCACCCCAGTTCTTCAGTGTTCTTCAGGAAGACGAAGAACACCAACAACAGTTGGGGCGTTTGGGACGGATTCCATGGCCTTTGCCCTAAATGCTACGATTTTGTGCCCTAATGTGTGTAAAATGAAAGAAAATAGCAACTAGGGGGACTGAAAACCTTACCTTTGGAGGATGGGGGCTGTTCTTCCAAGAATGAGAAATGGCAGTCGAGATAGAGGAGAGGGCTTAAGCTCTGGATCGTCAGATAGTAGAAAGGCAGTAGGAAGAAATGGCTTGAGGAGGGTGATGTATATGTAAGGGTGAAAGGCCGCCCAAATTCAAAAATCTGACAAGAACGGCGGGTTGGCTTCTCGATGACCAATGGCAGCCCGCCACGTATCCCCATTTATGGCTACGTCAGGATTGAAGCGACGGGATGAAGAGACGAAGAGCCAGCCGAGCTACTTTCGACGAAAAGGCTGTAAGCCGAGGAACATGACCGGGGAAGGATAGAAGATTAGCTCGATGAAGGCTTGGCGTCTTGACGACCGGAGAAACGTTATCTCGGACGAGGTGAATAATCCCAGTCACGCTTCCGCGGACGGAATTAAGGGGCAATTGAGAGGGTAATTTATGATCTGGAGTTGGGCCGAGATATCGACCGAGCAAGTTGAGGGCCCAACGGTGCATAGGTCCGAGACGATCGACTTTTTACCCAAAGTGGGCTGCCAGAATTTGGGCCGGGCAGAGTACGGGCTGAGTGTCACCCCGGACCGGACAGAAACTGCTCGGTAAGGCAGTGCTCGGTCGGACCAGGGTGCCCGGTCCGAAGATGGCCAAAGCCGGATTGACAGAGTGACCGGCGCCCAGGAAGGCATGGACAACCGAGGAAGGGAGCGGGTGGTTACGCTCGGTATCTCGGCTGAGGTCGCGGTTAGAAGGTTTTTGATCCGAGATCTTTTGGCCATTTCTTGCTCGTCGGTTAACCGGATTAATGGGACGTCTGGTAGGGTTGGATCTGGAGGTGGCGAAGGAGCGGCGTGAAACCGAATCAGGCTCCGGTCGATCCCAGGGGACAGGACGACCGAGATGCACCACCACAAGGAGTCATTAATGTCATCCACGGCATCGGTGATGAACGGCATGGTTTAAGCTGACAGATGGGATAGCGGAGCCACGTGTCAGGAGATGACTGGGAGTGGGTAAGGGGCTCAGAAGGTATATAGGCATGTCTGCGCCCCCCATACGCGATATAACGAACACTCTGTAAGGAATTTCTTACACTCAAACACTCTCTCCCTTCTCTCTATTCCCTCTAAGGTGTGTGCTAATTTGACCGTCGGAGGGTGTTTCCGGCCACACACCGCCGGGTAGCTCACCGTTATTTGCTCGCAGGTGATCGGATATCGACGGAGCTCGGAAGAAAGGAATACGGGCACGCCGGAATATTTGCTCCCCGTACAGAACTTTTGATAGAAATTTTAAAATTTCTAATATTTTTGTTTTATATTTGTGATCTCCCCATATTTGTGCTTTATATTTGAGACACTAAGCTAAAGACTACACAAATTAATTAAAACTCTTTTATAATTTTAATAAATTTTTTAAAATTATGCTATAATTTTGATACATTTTAAAATTATATATAGTTATCCAATGAGAATCATTAGACCTCACACAGTGACAATGGTCAAACCATCTATATCTCCTTTTTCTTTTTCTTTTTTTGAGCAATAAGTCAAACCATCCCATTACCAACTTTTTCCAACTTTATAATCAGGCACCAAACACCAATAAATGGGTAGAACCGCCCCATGCAATAAAAACCTTATCATAAAGTAATGGTATATATGCTCTTACGTAAGGTAACTAATCAAATTCTTTTTAGTTATTTAACATGTGATATTCCTTTCATGATTTTTAAGAAGCTTTGCTTGGACCCAGTCCAAAAAAAAAAAAAAAAAAAACCCAACAAAAGAAACTTAGCTTAGGAATAAATCAAGGATGTTCCTTGGCATTAAAATTTATGCAGTTGTGCGGGATGCTTAAGATTCTAACCACATTAATTGTTTAATTTTCGAGATGATTTTATGTCAAGTTGATTTTTGTTATGTCCGATTGTATATGTTCTGCATGGGAATGGCACAAATTCTGTTTCTCTTTTCATTCCTTAAATTAAATTATGTTTAATCACAAAAAAAAAAAGAGAGGTTATTCTCCAAATAGCCTAAGAAAATCAAACTTACAGCTAATGATTGAAAAATGTTTGTATGGCCCTATATAAATATAAATATAAATATGTATATTCTGTTTGCTTTAACAAAAAAATGTTTGAATTTTGAATGATGTTGTTTGTAAAAAAAATTTGTTAAGCTTAGATCGACAGAGGCTTAACCAAAATCTCACTAGACAATACAATGATCAAGTAATTGTGTTGAGATTTTATGCCTAGAAAGTTTCAAGAACTTCATTGGAGTAAACATAAGAGATAGTTACTAATAAATCCTATCACACAAACAACTATTCTAATTAGTCCAAAATTTTTTCTACTGTCTATTGAGTCCTATTAGTGTAGAGTTTCTTTTTGTGTAATCCTATTTTTTTATTTTGATAGTATTTTGGTGGATAACTATACCATTTTATTAATGTGACAGGTATGATGTGAGACTCCAATATAGCAGGTATTAATGTGACACTCTAACAATGTGACACTCTAAAAAAAACTAAGAACTCCTTAGTGTACTTTTTCCAAATGTGACAACGTGGCGAATATGACGTGACACTCCAAGACTTTTACTTTAAAAAAACTAAAAACTCCTTAGTGTATTTTTTTCAAATGTGACAACGTGTCAGGTATGAAATGACACTCCAAAAAACTAAAAACTCCTTAGTATATTTTTTTCAAATGCAACAACGTAGTGGGTATGTCACAAAAACTCCTTAGCATACTTTTTTCAAATATGACAACGTAGCGGGGTATTATGTCACACTCTAAAAAAAAAAAAAAAAATTTTAGTGTACTTTTCTCAAATATGATAACGTTGTTATGGGTATGATATGACATTCCAAAAAAAATAAATACTCTTTAGTATACTTTTCTAAATGTGACACGTGGCATTCCAACTTGGCGGTTATGATGTGATACTCTAAAAAAATTTAAAAAAATTTAATGTACTTTTTTCAAATGTGACACTCCAGCGTGGTGGGTATGATGTGACACTAAAAAACTCATTAGTGTATTTTTTTTTTCAAATGTGACACCCCAATGAGGTGAACAAATGAGTCATTATACATCTAAAATGACTAAATGGATCACAAGAAAAAATATGGGATTCTATGGATTACAAGTCCAAAATATGAAACTTATTAGTCAATCTCCCTAAAAATAATGACAAAACAAACAAGAAAAAAGAGAGAAAAAGAAAATGATGATAATGATGTAAATGATTGAATAAACAATTAAATACAACTACATTAAGACTACTCCTATCTAAGTTTAAATTACTCCTATATAGATTAGATCTACTCCTAAGATAAAAAAGAAATGAAAATCAAGTCATGTATTGATTTGTTAGTGATCTTTACAATAGAGCCATCAATGGCCATTTATACCCAAAAAAATGTAGGAAAAAACTTCTATTAACTATCATCTAACCACCTATATACTTTCACCTTCTTACATTGTCACTTGTCCTCCATCCTTTGAATCTTCAAAACTTGACTTAACTTCTCTTAACTTTCAAGATTTTCCTGTATAATTGAGAGGGTGATTTATGATCTGGAGTTGGGCCGAGATATCGACCGATCAGGTTGAGAGCCCAGCAGTGCATTGGGCCGAGATGATCCACTGTTCGCCCAGAGAAAGGCCGCCAAAACTTGGGCCGGGCAGAGTTTGGACCGAGAAAGGAATACGGGCACGCTGAAATATTTGCTCCCCGTACAATAATAATAATAATAATAATAATAATAATAATAAGTAATAGAAAGTTTAAATCTAATTATAATCGACAAAAATTTTATTTATGGTGTAAACAATGTCCCTCAAACTCTTTAAGAATGCGTATTTGAATTCTTAAAGAGTTGTATGAACATAAATATATAATAGAAAAAATGAAAATTATAATCGATTGGCCATATATATATATAGATATATATTTTTTTTTGTTGTGGCCACATCGAAATACTCCCCATTGCTGTTATATAAAAAATAGAAATAAAATTCAAAATTTCTTTTTGTAAACCATTTCATCAAAATTATTTTTTGATGTGAACCATAAAGCCATTGTAGTTGTTGAATGGAAAAAATTATAATGTCAATTGACTTTAGAAAATTAAATTTTTTGACAAAATTAATAATGTCAAAAAATTCAAATTCATCAAATGCAGGTTGCTTATAA